ACGTCAATTACTGTTTGAGGAATAGCATTTAAAAACCACTTCATGAATTCTAAAATTTGTATTTAAAAAATTAAATAGTTAGCTTTTTTGCAGTATTTTGAGCACATAGACTGTTTTACATTAGTATTCATCAACCCTTTTATCGCCGTGGACCGGTCAACGTTGGAAAATTTTACCGCTGCCCGCTGGGGATGGGGAGGGAAGATGATTGTTTATATTTTAGATTGTTTAGAGAGAGAGAGAGATTTAATAATTTTATTACAATTGTGTATTTAAGGTATTCGAACACGATGAAAATGACCAAATTCGATCAAGACAGATATTTTTGTTTTTTACTTTATTGAATAGAGATGTCTTTAGGCTTTACAAAATATACTTTGTTTTGTTTAAACTTTTAAGAAGGCCAATTTACAATCAGCTTTATAAAGTTAGAAAAACCGGAAGTGAGTCTTTGATCTACCAGAATTAGGCATTTAAATTACTCAAAATCTATTGTGGCGAGTCTGATAACTTAAAATCTTACAAATGTATTTCTATAAAACTTTTTGAACCTGATATATATGTTATTTTCTAGAGAATGTACTATAATATTTCTTATTGTATGAACAGTTTTTGAGTTTTGGCTTGTTATTTAAATAATGGTCTCATAAAGAATGTCACATTTCTTATAATGTTTACTCGATCAGCTCTAAAATTTTCAAATTTTAGTAAAACATTAAAATTTTAGTACATTGTCTAGATAAATGCATCTAATTTGTTTTAATAATACTTTTATTAATATAAGTTTATTACTTTTTTATGTAATTGCTTTGAAGCTTTTCAAAAATATTGCTAAAATTTTACTTAGAATTGTGATTTTTGTAACATTTAGGCAATTTATTGTAAATATTGTTGGTTAAATATTAGTATTTATTGGTGTTGACTTTTCTACAAAAGCATTTATAATTTTTAAATATGCTATTTTGTTAAAAAGCACTCCGAACGCGTTCGGATATCTTAAAGATACCTTCATATTAAAATACAGTTACACCAAAAAATAAATATAAAGTGATTTTTTTGACATGGAATATAAAGTGATTTTTTTGGAAAGTCGAACAACCCCGAGAGAAATACACCACATTAAATGAAATGGAAATAATTAAATATGTCTTGGACGAACCTGTATCATTTGATCCACGAACCGGTACTGGTCCACGGCACGGAGGTTGAGGGTTATTGTTTTACATAATACACATTGTCGTGGCCGAAGATTGCGTTGTAAGAGTGTTTGAGGAAGAAGCAGGCTTGATCTTAAGAATAGCTTCTTTTATTCTATCTTTAACATTTTATGGAACAAACAATTTTATTGCTTAACTCTGGGAGCAATAGGAAATCTTAACCCCTAATCGGATGTTCTAAATTATCGAAAGTTTTTTTCTGGATTCGAAGCTCCTTGTATGACCCTTCTCTAAGCTCGATAGTTTGGTTCCAATGTTGTTTACTTCACCAAGCCCTGGTGGACTATACGTCGACTTCTAATCTCAAGACGTGCGACCACTCAGTCGCTGTTCACTTTTTAAGATACTTAAATTTCCCGATTAACCATCAACGATTAACCATTAACCTCACATACTCAATGACATGCACTTTAATTGTAGTTACATTTGCATAAAATCAAGTCATCTCTATAGAAAGCGATTTTTAAACTAAAAGCACAGTTAAAGAATATTTTCTCCAAGAGGATTAGTAAAAGAATCCGACTAGTACTCGTTACAACATACATAGGACCCCCCTCCAAAACAATGTGAAAATTGTTTTGTATATATTGTTCCATGTCCCCCTTAAATTCGAAATTTTGTATAGATAATGGGGTAAATTCATGTGACGTCATGGTCACATGATAATGACAACACGTGTTTATAAACAATCAGTTCAAAAACTCATGTGACATCATTGTCACAGGATAAAAACAATCATATGTTTTCAGCTAATCATTCATGCTTTCGTTTTTGCCAACTATTGCTCCTTTCAGAAACTTTCTCTTAAAACGTACATGTTTCTCAACAATAATAACGCACGTAGGTTTATAAAATGTATTTTATTTCAAAATACATGCATAAAATAAGATTTTTTTTTAATTTTAAAACCTTTTTGAAGAAATTTTTTTATAACATTTGCCAATTAAGAAATCTAATTTTTATCGAAGTTTTACAAATCGAACAACAAATACAATTAGTCTAATGTTTATCATGAATGCAATGGAGAACATGTGTTTATCTTTATCATGTTTCCGCCATGAATTTAGCCCATTCTACGCNTTTTAAAGTATATCTTATTTGCATTTTCGCCCTATTTCTCTTCTTGGTATTGGGTTGGAAAAGTTTTGCCATTAATCGTGGCCGTCAAAGAACGTAGGAGTTATGTTAGAAGACAAACGCGAGAGACGTCACAATACTACTTTGTAATCCTTTGGGGAAAGCAACGATTTTCGAAAATTTTTGCCATTTATGTGCTTACAATGATAATTATTATCATTAAATAATTATACAGTAAATAATCCTTATTGTAGAGAAAATATTTTTAAATTTTTTTCTTCTCAAAAATGGTGCACTTAAAAATGGTTTGCCGATAAAACCTATTTTATTTAATTCTTTCAATATTGTGGCTTTAGCTCGTATTTTAGAAGATTATTGGAATTTGCGACGAAAAAATTGTCAAGAAAAACAGAAGTTAACCATTTTTTTTGTTGTTGTTAAATTTCTTACGCAATCCGTATAACGTGATTATATCAACACGAAAATGAGAAATTTGAACAAAATCCTGCCAATAGACAAAAACATGTAACAAAAACAAAAAAAAACACGAATAAATAAAAACATATATGAAGTAAAATAACAGATTACATTTACATCTTTTTTTTTTTTGTATGAATTTTAAATCTTTTACTTGCTTTTTAAACACTCATTCAAAGGAAAAATTATCTATGAAAGTGAAATGAAATAAAGAATTAAATAAATATTTTTATTAAGAGAAAAAGAAAAAAAAATAGTGCAAGTTAAATATATATTTATAAAGGCAAACTAGAACAAATATCACTCATAATTCATTCAATTAATTCTTTGAAAAGTAACAATTAAATCAGTTAAATTACTGAATAAATATATATAAATTTTTTCTACTCTTATCTGTTAAAAAAATGTTTAAAATTAAACGTGATCTTCAAAATAAAAACTAAATCCATCAATAAAAGTTATATTTAAATTATGTTTTATTCATGACTCTGCATCATACAAATGCAGTTCAAAAATCTTCAAAAATTCAGTTAATAAATCAAACAATTCTTCATATAGTAACGCAACAAAGAAATGTATAAAAATTTGTTTTACTATTGAATGAGCCTATTCTTCTTTGAAATCTTGTCTTTTATGAGCTTGCTGCGCCATCTAGTATTGAGAAAATGTATTATCACTCGTTTCATGTTTCTCTCATTTTCGATTATTTCGCAGCTACGACCCACAAAAAAATACCAACTTTTATGAAGCATTTAACTTTTGCAAAGCTATTTCAAAAAATTTTTCCCCTTTAAACAGATATTTATACATTTTTAAGAATAATTAATGATAAAAATGTCGAAAAATCTTGAGTAGTTCATTTTAACATTAAAAATATTTGTTAAAATACTTGTTTTGCATGAAAATATTTTTATGAAAAACGTGAATGTGTAATTAATAATAACAAAAGTAATC